AAACGCCCACATTTTAGCAGGGCTTGCCCAAGTGTAACTTCATTACTGCCTCCTTTGAGGTGAGGTGGGGACAGAAAACTAAGTCTTGCCAAAAGTACGTGAGCAGAAGGGACACAGTTCATTACTTCCTTTTCTTTGCTTCTTCCTCTTTCTCTTTTCAACTCAGGTCATCACCAGCTGACTCACAAATTTATCCCTGGGCAACCTCTCCCTGAACTCCTGATGCCCACACCTAACCCCATACGGCATCCCCGTGGAAGGGTCTGATAAAGGAATTGCATTTGGCATGTCCAAAGTGGAACCCCTGATCTTCCTCTGAACCTGCTCCTCCGAGAACCTTTCCATCTCTGTTAACAGCAGCCTCCTGTTGCTCAGGACAATATGTTTGCAGCTGTCCCAGGTTCCCCTCTTTCCCCAGGACCCTCACTCTGTCCGCCAATGCTGTGACTCACCCTTCAAGGCAACTTGAAACCAACATCCCTGTTCTCACCCCACCGATGCAATAAATCTTTCACATGAACTACTTCACAGTCTCCTAACTTTGTACCTGGCTTAACTCTGACCCTCTGCCATCTGTTCGCAGAGAAGCCAGAGGGATTCTTGTCAAAGCTGAATAACATCATGCCAGTCCTGGCTCATAGTCTGCTAATGGCTTCCTGTCTCTCTCGGTAAAACCCAAAGCCTGTGCTCGCCTGGAGCACTCCCTCGCTGGCTTCCTCTTCCCTTTCCTTCCCCGCTCCTGCACCCTCTCTTCTATGACATACCATACTTTTTTAAAGCACGTGTTTGTAGTACTCAGTGTTTACATTCCCTACACGAAGTTGGTACCTGTACATGGCACATCTTCACTCCTTTTCTCATCCCCTATCCCTCTCTCCCTCCTCCTTCCATTCATCTCTTGATCCTCTTCCTTTTTTTTTTTTGTACATGTCTGCAATATACAGTGTTTACATTCCTTCCGTGGGGTCACTACACTTACATAACTTCATTCCTTTTTTCCTTTTTCTTCCCTTCCCTCCACCCTCCCTCCATCTCTTGATCCCCTTCCCTTCTGAGAAGGATCTATCTCCCCACTTCCTTTTATCTGTCTTTTATTTTGCTCTTCATTTATGCTTTAGGTTTCTTGTAAAAGGGAAACCCTGCAATATTTAAGCATCTGTGTCTGACTTAGCATTATGACATCAGAGGTAGGATAAGATGATAAATAAGGCAACATCACTGCTACCAGAGAACTTGTTCTCATTATGATGGGACATATAGACATATTTTTAAAGAATACCTAAGTTTAATAATTTCATGTAGTGATTAGTGCTATGGTGTCACTAAAAAATGAAAGTTGGGGAAAACTGGATAGGAAAGGCTCATATAGGGGAGAAACATTGTCTCTGAGACATACAAGGGAAAAGATGCTGGCATGCAAAATCTGCCAATCTAAAACTCTAGGCAGAGGAAACCATGAATCCCTCTGCCCGCCTCTTTCTCAGGGGACCCCGCATCCTTGAGGAACACAGATCAGGTCTGTCTGGGTGGAGTTTAAATCTGCATGGTGAGAAAGTAAAAGGTAACGTCACAGAGTTGTGTACCCTGCCGGCCCACGGATGTAACCATAAACAGTTCAGGTTTTCTCCTACTTGCAGTGGGAAGCCACCCCAGCACTTTAAGCATGGAAGTGTTCTATCTGATTTACACTTTTATTTTTTAGTTTTTTGAGACAGGGTCTCACTATGCAGCTCAGGTTGGCCTTGAACTCACTGTGGAGGTCAGCCTGACCTTGAATTTGTGGCAATCCTCCTGCCTCAGTCTCCAGAGTGTTGGGATTACAGGTGTTCTGCCAGTAGACCTGCCTTGATTTACATTTTTTAAAGACCATTTTCTGGGGAACTGATTTTGGGGGAGTAAGTGTGGGAGCGGAAGGGTAGGCACCAGGCCTATACTTCAGTACAAATGAGAATGGTGGTGATTTGAGCCAGGCAGTGGAGACAAAGGGTTATGAAGCAACTTGAAGCCTATTCTAGTGGTGAACCAACTGGACTTGTTAATAGATTGGATATGGGAGGAGTGGTGACAACAAATCCAACAAGACTGGAAATTTAGGACCAGTTAGGTGGATGGTGGTAGTACCAAGAGGTGGAGGTTAAACTCTGAAGCCTGGATATCACCTGCCTATCTATGGTAATATTAGTCCTATCACCCAAAGAGCTCATCTAAGGAGAAATGGCAAAAAGTTAATTCTCAAAGATTAGGTTAGGAGCGCTCAGTGTTTAGCAGTTGAGCAGAGGATGTCTAGGAAAGGACACTGGAGAAGGAAGCAGTGGGGAGGGAAAACAGGTGAGTGTAGCATTGAAGACGCAAAGGAAGACTCCTTCAAAGGCAGCAGAGTAGCCAGACACTCAAACCACAGCCATGCACTTAATGGAAACAGGGGCGTGGCCTAATGCATTCAGCACGGTGAAGATCACTGGAGACCTTGAGCTCCTGTGTTTCCAGGAAGAGAAACAGGCAAAAGCCCTTGTACTTCTGAACGGTGACCATTCCTGCTGCCTGACTCACCGCCTTTGACACTCCGGAAAGACCACTCCTGTGGACTCACTGACCTGGGTTTGCACCTGATGTTTCTGTTTGCCAGCTGTGTGAACTTTAACATCCTAACAATCCTTTCTGAGCAATTGTTTCTTCTATAAAATGAGAATAACCACATCTTGTAATACAGTCATGGACACAGATATTATACGGAAAAGCATTAGGCAGCAGAAAACAGTCAGTGCTCAGTAAATTGTAGCTCTGTCATTTTTATCAGGATCATCTCACCTATGTTGCTTGTCTAATGTGTCTTGGTGTATAATCCTTTCTCTGAGTAACTGGTCTCCCTGCTTGGCAAGCCCAGGCCCAGAATTATCTTGCCCCATACAGTGCCTAAGATGAGCTACATGCTGAATAAAATGTTTATAATAACGACAATCGAATGGGAAATACTTGCAAAGTAGAAGATCTCAGAATGTAAACAGAAGGTAAAATAGATTCCTTCCCTCTGCAAAGATACCCAGGGCCCATATACCAGAATTGCTGGAGGGCAGAAACTAGAACCCTTTTCATACTTTTAAAGATGAGGCAGTCCTTTCTTAAAACTTACCCTTGAATTTCTCATTGAGTATTTCCTATTGTACATATCACTAATCTCTAAAGTGGAACTGTCATTCAAAGACAATCAGATTTATAAGATGAATCAAAATTTTATTGAGTACATTTCCCCAGTGGGCATTTTGATTGACATATCCAGGTATTCCCTACAAATCGAACAACCAAAGCTTAATTTTAAAGACTAAAGCAATCTTGCTGTTCATTAAGCCTTTTTTAAAGCCTTCAGTTCATTTCTTTCAGTACATCTTAATTTCATCCAGTGACACCCAATTATCCATTACTAGACATTTCATTTTGAAAAAGAACCTTAGGTACTATTTTGTTCCTACTCCAAAGCTGGGTTATTCACCATGAGAAATGGAAACATCAGACTAAGCATGAGAAAAATCTGTTCAAATCAAGATAGTGACACTTGGGCTGGGGATTTAGCTCAGCGGCAAAGTGCCTGCCTGGCAAGCTCAAGGTCGTGAGTTTGATTCCTGGTACAGAAAAAAAAAAAAAATAGTGACACTTCCTAGCTATATAAACTAAATCAAAATATTCCTAATCTTATTTTCTTCATCACCAAAATGAGAATCAGCATGCTCACCTTACAGGATTGTTTTGAAAAGAAAATGATATAAAAATATGCAGATGCAATGTATAAATCACAAAGCACCACAAAAATGCAAGGTGGGATTATCCACAAACGATGATGATGACTCATTCAATATTCAGTGGGTACTTATGCAACATGACCACAAGGCAGACACTTTGCTGAGCAATAAAGACATAAATCTAAAATTAGAAAATGGCCTTACAAAGCTTCAATACTAATGGAGAAACCACAGTTACAAGGTGGTATGCAGATGTGGCTCTTGGCGTCAGAATGGAGTATGGAAGTGAGGACGGAGAACTTCCTGAGTTGCTGACACTAGAAGGAGCTAACAAATCACATACTGAGCAGCAACAAAATAAATCCGAGTCACTGCTCTGTGGAGTGGTCCACATGCTTCACAGTCCTGGGCCCAAGCAAAAGTGTCCCAGCCTCTCAAAACAGGCTTTCTCAAGCGAGCACCAGTGGTATTTTGGTCTGGATAACTTTGTGTGGTGGGGCTACCTAGTTCATCACAGAATAACTCTGCCTCCTTAATGCCAGCAGGGTCTGCCTCTATCCAACTGTGACACCAGAAACTTCTTCAGACACTGCCATATGCCCTCCGAGGAACTAAATTGCCCCCAGGTCAGAACTTCTGCTTCAAGATCATGGAAAACCAATGTAGGTGCTTCTGCAAGAAATGAAATTCATGCAACTAGTATGTAGACTTACACTGGTGCCCAACAAACATTGAATGAATGAATGAATGAATGAGCCTCCTGGAACCCTTTGGCATATTCTCCTGCGTCTTATCCAGAAGAGCTCCGGGCTGCTAATTAAGTTTTACAAGTGCCCAAGCGAGAGGTAACAATAACACAAACACCCATTTATACAGTGCTTGGTACAAGCTGTACGATCTTGGGCAAGTAGCTCAAACTCTCTGAGCCTCGGACTCTTAAGGGGAGATGATAAATTCTATTTTACAAGGTCACTGGCAAAGTCTAATGAGATAATTACCAGTAAAACATACTGGCTTAGAGGCTTAGCACTCTTTTAGTGTAACTGAGAAGGAGAATCTTAACAGAGTGCTTCCCACTTCCTGCCAAAACATTTTACCCACTAAAATGAACTAAAGCAGTTTAGGGATATACTGCTTTTGTCTCAAATGAGTGGAGTGCACCATGAAAGAAACTGACATATCAGGTGTCCACTTCATTCCACATGAGCAGTGGGTCAGTTAAGTGGCCCAGAGAGCTGTGACTTCCTAAGAACCACACATCTAACAAAGTGGCAGTGTAAACATGAAAGGCTCAGTCAGCACTCAGGTCTGGCCAACAGGCCGGCCTGGGTGTACTGGTTGCAGTGAGGCTTGGCTGCGTTGTAGGGCTGCGGAAAGTGCTTTTTGTATTCTGTGTTCTGCAGCTTTCTGTAGACATAGATCACCAAATCTGGAAATGTCTTCTGAAAATAACGGGAAGGTTCTCCAATTCTTTCCTTCATCCTGAAACGAAAACGCAAATGGTTTGGCATATTTGCCCCAAGCACTTCCTCTCCTCACAGAATATGACTCAAGGGCTCACACTGCTCTCTTGATTTCTAGTGCAAAATGCATAAGGGCTTTGGAGTCAGATCGAGCAAGACCCTTCTTCCAATTCTTTAGTCACTCTGCGAACAGTGGCCACTTAATTTTTCTAAACCTCAGATTTTTCATTAATAAAACAGAGGTAATATAATGCTATAATCTTTTACGTACAAACCTCAAATTCAAAAGAACCCTGAACCAAAAAGCTTTGTATATGTGTGTTTACAGCTATCATTGTTTGGCAGCAAAAACTGATTTTTACCAGCAGAGGGCTGTTTGGCTTTTGTTAATGCAGCGTTTATTTTACCCAGCTGTCCAATCTCCTGGACTACTCACATAAGAAATTGCTAGCTTCTGGTTCGGTGGTCCCTGCAAAAAGGAAAAAAGGAAGACAAGAGCCTGCCGGATTGGTCCATAATTAATCATAAGGCCAGAGTGATACACCTTTTTCTCAGCAGAGAAGGGGAGCTGTTCTTCTTTTATCAAAATAACTTCTCTTCTCTCTGTGCAGATATGCATTTGGAATTGGATTTTTAAATTGTTCTCATTTTACATATGGTTTATAAAAATGAAAACAATATTTACCATTTGTTTTTTTCCTCATCAATGTGTTCTCCTATGTTCCGGATGAACTTCAGCAGGTCACCCACACCTTCCTTGTAAAATTTGCTTCCTTTTTTATAGTAGCTGTTCATTTCTTTCATAATGGATTCATCAATCTAAGAAACAAAACGTTTCCCATAAATGTGGTGATAACAAAGTAAATCTGATGACATATTAATACCAAAAGGCAAGATGCGAATTTGAATACATGCTGCTCTCTACTAATAACTAACAAAGATTAATCAAAAGAATGAAAATAAATGCAACCCTGAGCCGTGGTGGCCACCCTAGCACACCCTGGAAAACTTGCATCATGTACCTGTGCTGCCAAAACCAAACCGCTGGACACAAAAATGGGCACGTCACTCAAATCAATAGAAAAACACAGTCTACAATGGATGTTAAGAGGTAAGGCTTGAAGTCAGTCAAAACTCAATATAAATCAGTGAAATTTAGAGAGGGAAATATAATGAATTGGGAAATAAAAGAACAGTTTTTGGGTTTTTTTCCCAGCACTGTTAATCTCTGGCTGCCTTACCCAGAGTACTTAAGGCATCATCTCTGAGCCTCAGTTTCCTCAGGGACTAAGTAAGTTGGTGGAGTTAGCATTGTGGCTTTTGTGGTGACAGTGGCCTAAGCACATGGCCTCTGCAGCTTTCCTCCCAGCTTCAAGTCCTGCCACACCCCTTTCTGGCTCTATGCCTTTAGAAAATTTACTAATCTGTGCCTCAGTTTACCTATCCACAAACATAGGTGATTACCTCAGAGGCTGTCTGAGGCACCTCTTTATAGCGGCAGCACTATAAAGTCCTCAGAACTATGACTGCCACTTAGCACTACAGAATCTCTATCTGGCACCATCTGCTCTAGCTTCAAGTTTCTCTTTCCAAAGTGTGAGCTGAAGTTTTATAGACAGTGATGGAACTTGCAGGCTAGCAAAGAAAACAGACATTAAACCAGCATCATGAGGTGTAGTCTAGAAACCAGCTAGGGAAGGAAATAATCCAAGAGCCAGAAACAAAGGGGTTTTGGAGAAGAGGCCTAGGATAGGGAAGCTGTTGGTTGCAGTCAAAAACCTGAAGTTGTGGATCCTTCCCTAGTGCTTTGTACATGGCCTCAGGGTGCCCCGCATGCATCACAGAGCATCGTTTTGTGGGTCTCTCAGCCACACAGACACTACGCATTTTCTGCTTATACATCCAGGCCCTCACATTGGCCAACCTCATAACTGACATTTGGTAGATGTTTTTAAATTAATAACAGTGAAAGTTCTGATACTAAAGCTAGAGATACAGATTAATGGTAAAGAGTTTCACCATACTCAGGTCAAGTTAGGTGAAAATTTTCTTGAAAAAAAACTTCTGTGAAAGATCATCTTTTCTTTAAGGTGTTTTCTCAAGGTGTGATACAGGTAGGCATGTGGATCCTTAGAGCTGTTGATGCACAAGTGGCAGAGGCAGCCTGACTCCCACAGCTGAGGTGTTGCACAGTGGAGCACCTCCCTTGGGCTAGGTTCTGTTTAGTCCCATCTGCTGGTCACAATGGCTAGGCTTGAAGGAAAGCCGCATGGGTTGCATGGAGGCCTTCTTAAGTAGGAGCCTGCACAAGAGCCTTATCAGGAGTCTTGGGTCTGGGGGAAATGCAAGGGCCTGAAAGGAAGCCCAGAGACCCAAAAAAGCTAAGAGGGTCTGGGATAAAGAGGAAGAGAAGGAAAATTATCTCTTCACCTTCCTAGCTCGAACAGGTCAATGGTATAAAAAAAAGTTAGAAAAACTAGCATAAAACATTACACAAACTCACTTCTGGAATAACTGCTAGGCCATAGGAATTGTCCATACCTTATCTGTCCACTTAACAAAACTGCTGGAACATTCAGATGACCCAGGTTGTAGTAGCTTAAGGATCTCACTACCAGATTTTCTCACTTTGATATCAGATTCATTTCCTATATTCCGAAGTGTCCTATATTTCCTTAAAATGAAAATATTATCACGGTTATTTTGTTCTTCCCACTCTTTGCAGAAACAGAAAACTGATAGATTTTCTTTTTTGCGGGGGAGGGTACCAGGAATTCAGGACCTTGAGCTTGCCAGGCAGGCACTGATTTTATTTTCTAAGAAAAGTACTAAAGCTCTTCAAAAATTCTGCCTTACAGAAGAGGCATATGATGTTTCTTCCTTCCTGTTCTTCAGAAGAGGAAGCCAGAACTAGGACGCTAAATTACCTCTCCCAGGACACACAGCCAGAGTATGCTGGATTGAAAGAAAATCATGGATTGGCTGATTCCCAGCCCTACCCTCACCCTCACTACCTCACCCTCTCACCCTCTCCTTCTGGAGCCCTGTGATATATATTCAGGTTTTACTTACATCTCCCAAGTCCAAAAGAAGGGATGACCCAGAAGTTGGTTTAGACAGTCCCTTACGTTTTCCTCAGTGCAGAACAAGTGATGAATGAGGTCTTTGGTTTCCTCATCTGGAGAAAGTTGAAGCACTTGTTCCTTACTTTGAGCCTTCAGCTCCTCAAAAGGGATCTGTCCTTTCTTTACCACATACAGGGCTAGCCGTCCAAGAGCCTGTGCAAGGGCCACAAAACAGCCAAAGGTGATTATGAGTCTCCTTCCTATTTGGGTAACCTTGGAAAATGTGGTACAAGATGTATGCATATGGAGCATGGGAGTCCCAAGCAGTCCTCAGGCTTGGTAGGAAGAGAAGGCACAGACCTGTGCATAGAGAGCTCTTCAAAGCAATATGTGGTCCACATGTGGTCCTTCAAATTTATGAAGAGCAAAAGGTAACGCTGGGCCAGAGTGGTCGGGGCAGACTACTTGGAGGAAGAGGGATTTGAACTGGGCCTTGAAGATATTGATAGAAGATAGATGAATCAGGGAAAGTGAGAATGTTTTGAACAAGATCAATCCTGACAGCCTGGCCGGGAAGTGGGAGTTCAGGTCTGGGGCTGTGGCAGGCTTCAGATATAACAGTCAGTTGAGGTTTGGAGGGTCAGAGGGTATCTCTTCCTTAAGGGAGATCTTTTCCCCTCCCAGGTAATCATGTAGCTTTCCTCTAACACACCTACACAGCATTTTGCACTTTTTGCTAACATTTCTAAAGCTGCAATTATTTTCATGTAGATTCGCATAATCATTCATTTACTATTCGTGAGCTTGGTTGCCAGCCAAGGAGTTAGGCCATAACAGGGAGGAAAACAGAGAAAGAGGGCATCACAGGATGCCATCTTCATCCCAGTCAGGGATGGAGCTGAAATCTAGATCCAGACCAAGGGACTGGGAGAGAACTGCCCAACAGTTTTGGGTCCTAATAGCCCAGGAGCTTTGGGCTGCAGGGCCAGGTCCCACATGCTCTCTAGAGCAACATCTGTTTTGAGATTCTAACCTTTTTAGCTCAGCTTGGTGTCTTTTGAGCTGGGGGTGACCCCACTCCTCCCAGTTCTCTGAAGGCTTCAGTATCTGGCCTTCTTCAGAGCTTAGCACAAGGCTTTGAACAGAGTGGGAAAAGAAATCGCTTCTACTTTATCTTTAGGCAGAAAATGTCTTCTGGAGGAATGTTGGTGATACTTGGGAAAACCTCCTGGAAGTGTGTGCAGAGAGGTACAACACACTCAGTTCATTACTTATTTGCTAGTGGAAGAAGGAGGAGATCCAAAGAGACATGGAAAAGGGTCACAGAAATGGCCAGGTCCATGTCACCCAGCACACTACCTTCTCTTCCGTATGCTAAAAGCCAAGCAATTGTTCTGTGTGTTGAAACTCTTCCGTGGGGGAGTTAGTAGATGCCTTTGTTGGCATAGGCCTGAGGGCAGTGACAAGGTAGGGGCAAAGTTGAACGTTCTTTCCTTCCTAGTTCAGATACAAATATCTTGTATTTGGCCAAAGGAACTAGGGTCATGAACCAATAAGGAAACTGAGAGAAGAAAAAGCGAACTGCGTTGTAGACGTTACCTCTAGATCACTCTTGATTTCCCGAGGATCTCCAGTCCACTGGATGCTCTCATCAAAATCTCCCAGGCGAATGGCATTCTTGGAATCTAAGGGACAGTTTACAGGGGGCACAAGAGATGCTCATTGTCCCTCTTGTGATACTCAGTAGGTACATACCATGATGCACAACCCATCATCTCTGAAGAGAGTGAGTAATAGTCCTGCTGACTCCCCAGAAACTGTCACATACACAGTTTTATTTGGTCTGTGAGGTCTCTACCAAGATCAGGACATACGTCTTATTTTTTCCAGACCAGAGAGTAGGAAAGGATGAAGATAAATTTAACCAGCTCCTCTTTCATGTAGCTCTTGGAGCAAACAGCACAGGTTTGCAAAGGAGCTCCTGATGGGAGTTGAGCTTACACCGAAGCATCAGTTAGCCAATAAGGTACTAAATTCAAGACTGTCATGGCACAGCAGTCCACTAAATAGAGCCGAAGAGCCACAGCCCACTCTGACATTTTGGATAGTGATCAGGCATTGGTGATGCACTTGTAAAGAGTCCTTACTTCCTTGCCCCCTTCAGATTCTTTTTCCCTGGAAATAAGCCACAGAGCTCACAGAAAGAGGGATGGGAAGATGTGAGAGATCAGGACTTAGATGAATGCAGGGCAAGTCTACAATTCATCCTTCAAGAGGTGGCCCCTGGGTCTGGCTCCAAGTGTGTTCTGAGAAGAAGAAAGACTGGATAACTCCGATAGGATCAGCCAGTGCAGCTGAGTGCATCTGGATTCCAAATGCAAACATTAAAGTTGAGCAAGAACCCACAGGCTAACAAAAAATGAATCCATTAAATTATTTGGCAAGTGTTTATTGAAAGACAGAACAAAGGGTGAAGGAAAACCCAGCTCACGAATAGTAAATGAATGACTATGCGAATCTACATGAAAATAATTGCAGCTTTAGAAATGTTAGCAAAAAGTGCAAAATGCTGTGTAGGTGTGTTATAGGAAAGCTACATGATTACCTGGGAGGGGAAAAGGTCTCCCTTAAGGAAGAGATACTTAGACTGAAAAGCTAAGTAGAATTCAGGACGAAAAGTAGAGGCAGGAAGAGAAGAGGGAACTTCAGAGGAATTCCTAAGGCTGAAAGGAATGAAGACTTCCAGCCTGGAGTGTCCAGAGAGCAGAGATGAAATCACAAAGTGGCCTCTAACCAGGCCTGATCTCGTTACTCAAACCAATAATTTTCTTTCAGAATTTAAGCCACTTTGGGTGAAGTTTCCTGCCACTTAAATCTGAAGGTGCCTAAATGGAATATTCCACTACCCTTCTAACATGCAATTTTTGTGCTTTTAAAAACTCCAACATTCTACTACTACATTCAACAGATATTGTTAATAGGCTCTGAATTTTTGAAACACTTACACTTAGCTTCTGCACTGATAGTCAAGGGAGGTTAGAAATAAATCTACCTCCACCCCGTTGCCCACAAGCCCGCACCTCAGTCCTCTAATGTCTCTGGCCCATTTTAAAATCAGATTCTTCTATTTTCTTATCATTGAGTTTTAAGAGTTCTTTACATATTTGGGGTAACAATCCTTTGTCTGACATGTCTTTTGCAAATATTCTTCTCCCACACTACGCCTTGCCTTTTCACTCTCTCAGCCTTGTCTTTTGCAGAGCAGAAATTTTTTATTGTAGTGAAGACCATTATTATTGCTTATCAGCTTTTCCTTCATAGATTGTACCTTCGGTATTGCATCTAAAAAGTCATCACCAAACCCAAGATCCTCTAGATTTTCTTCTATGTTATCTTCCAGGGAATTTCATAGTTTATGGCTCCTGTTGAGAGCCAGGACTTTTAATGGTAGATTCAGCCAGGAGAACTCTGCCTTAATGAACAAGAAAATGCCACTGTCAAAGGAATGGGTTTCTTACCCTGAGAGTGGGTTTATTATCAAAGCAAATTGGACCGCCTCTTGCTCTTGTATGCCCTTGTCTTTCTGCTTACTGTCATGGCACATCATCCTCACTAGATGCCAGTACCTTGATCTTGGAACCTACTTTATAGCTTTCAGAACTATAAGAAAGAAATCGTTTTTGTTTTTAACTAGATTGCCTCGTCTGTTGCAGTCTATCATAGCAACATAAAAAAAGACTAGGGACTCACTTATTAAGATGTTTCCTGGCTGCAAATCCCGATGAATATATTCATGCAAGTGTAATTCTTGGACAGCTTTAAATACAGATGCTAGAACATGTCGGCCAAATGTATCTTCCTCGTCCTCCACAGCTTCCCCTCTGTGCTTATTCAAGTGCTCTTCCAGAGATTCTTCACAGAGGGCCACACACACGTACAAGCAGCCCTCCTCACTCTCACTCCCATAGAAGGTCAGCAAATTACAGTGCTCCCGGAAGTGGCGCAGGCAGGCTACTTCCCTACGCGCATGCTCGCTGTCCTCACGGAACACCTTCACAGCCACCTCTCGCTTCTCGTAGAGACCCAGATAGATGCCCCCTTTAGAAGTGCTGGCAATTTTGTAGTCTTCATCCCTAAAGATCTTGAGCTTGCCGATGTTACGGTGGTACAATCTATAGAGTTTTTTCAGGCCTTCTCCCCAACGTGAACTCAGAGGCTTCCAGTCTTCAGCAGGGGTTTGGAAACAGTCTTTGGCTCCATAAGAACGGAGAAGCTTTTCAAGGTCATTGTCATGATGTTTACGCTTCGCTATCCTGACAAGATCTCCGCAATCTGTGCTGGCTCCCTTCTGGCACAGCAGCTTGACAATCTCCTTCAGGTTGAGCTCAACAGCGACCCCCAGTGCTGTTCGGCCTTCACTATCTTTTGCCTCGATCTCCACGTGCTCTTGTTCCAGAAGCATCTGCACCAAACCAGCGTGCCTCTTTTCCACTGCCAGGATCAGGACCGTCTTCCCCTTTTCTCCTCTCACGCAGACATCAGCCCCATGGTCCAGCAGAAGGCGGGTGACCTCCTCCACCTTTTCATCAGGACAGCCCTGAATACCACGGACCAAGGCATTTCTGCCCATATTGTCACGGGCGTGGACTGCTGCCCCCATCTCTTCCAGTAGAATCCTCAAGACATCACTGCGGCCCTTTCTAGCAGCATCCATGAGAGCTGTGCCCCCTCCTTTCCCAAGGCGCTTTTGATCATCCTTTGTCTCTCGACGCAAATTCACATTGGCTCCATTCTCATAGAGGAATCGTAAGGCTTCAACGTTACCATGCCAAGCAGCTTCCATAAAAGCTGTGAAGCCATTAGCATCATACTCATTGACATCTGCTCCCTTGGAAAGGAAAAATCTGAGCAGTTCCACGTATCCCTCAATCCCAGCGATGATTAAACAGGTGGCCCCGTTCTTCTTCCTCTGACGAGGGTCAGCACCATAATGAAGCAGCATTTCCACGATGTCCTTGCGGCCACGTTGTACCGCATTATGCAAAGGTGTCCAGCCCCCTTGCTCTTCTTGGACATTGACATCGGTCCCTGTTTCCAGCAATTGCTTTATCTGGCTGACATCTTCATTCTCAACAGCATTTATTAATGGATGATTGTTTTCCATTGTAGCACTGCTACTGTTGGAGGACATGAGTCCTTCCTGGGGATTGTTAGAACCTTTACTCTCCATGATGGTAGATGCCGCTGGCTGTGTTTTGCTTTTTCCTTGAGAAAATACAACTTAGCTCCTTGGGACTTGACTAGAGTTATGGAGTATAAATTGAGATTACTTGGCTACAGCCAGCAGTATGAGGTAGAACAATATTCTTAGTCTTCCGAGATTCCCCCTGGAAACAAGAGAGATAATGGATAATTTCAGAATAGAGAGAAAGCATTTGAATCACAGAATTCACTTTTACTAGTAACCTTTTCCAAAGACATGGACTTACTCAGTACAGAACTTTTAAGCTGTAGATATTATAAATGTATATGAATTAAAAACAAGAAAATTATTACTTGATAGTGCCACTGCCAAGAAGCAGCCACTAATAAGTATTTCATTATATTTCTATAGATTTTTTTAAATAGCTGGTATCTTGTTGTGTGTCTCAGTTTTGTATCCCACTTCCTTCCATTCAATGCCATACAATAAATAATTCCCTATACTGTACTATCAAAAAGTCTTTTAAACATTTTAATGGTCCCATAATATACCATCATATGGTTGTTCAATTTCTCTATTACTGAGAGTTTTATAAAATAATTTTTAAGAAGATTTTTAAAATTCAAGATTTCTAAACAATTCTAAATGATGTTCATTCAGTTTAGTTTCTTATGATGAGTCTCTTAAAGTCATAACCTTTGATTGTCAAAGTTGTAATTATGTTTAGTATTTTCAGCCTCTACTGTATTAACCACTTTTTTAAATGTTTATATAAATATATTATTACCAACAATAAATAGATTCTTTTTTAAAAAACTCATTTAATATTAACCACTTTCTTCCATGTTATAGAAATATACTTTTTTCAGCAATAGGTTCTTTTTTTGCCAGAGATATAGCTCAGCGGCACAGCACCTGCCTGGCAAGTGCGAGGTCATGAGTTCGATTCCTGGTACCAAAAAAAAAAGAAAAGAAAAGAAAAGAAAACGAGCAATATTCTTTTTTTAAAAAGAAACTCATTTACTATTAACCACTTTTTTCAATGTTATATAAATATGCTCTTTTTCAATGTTATATAAATATACTCTTACCAACTATAGATTCTTTCTTTAAAAACTCATTTGGTATTAACCACTTTTTTCAACATTATATACTCTTCTCAGCAATAAATACATTCTTTTTTTAAAAAAAAAAAAAACTTATTTTATAGGTAAAGTATATTTCATGGCTTTTGTCCAGTGGCATGTGTTACATCACTAGCAAGACAGTTCAGTCTCCGACTCTTGTGTATGTCCTTTTGAACTACTGTGTGCTTCTCTTTAAAGTCAGAATGGCAAGAGTTGGGTTTTTGACCTGAATAAATGAACCTCGAGTCTGAGCCCCCCGCTTATATCATTTTTCTTGACTGTTACTTCCTGACTGAGTCATTTAGATTTGTGGAGTTTTGATTTTCTGTTTTCTCAAATGGGACTAAAATAAATCAGAGGGCACTGAAGTACACTGTGTAGCAAATACTGAGGAATGGTGGAACTAATTATGCCACTCTACGAAAAAAAAACAGTTTCAAAGAATCCTATTCTCCCCACCCATGTGCAATTAAATTGTACACAAACAAGGAAGGTGGGCACCAGTTTAGCCCAAGCACCCTCAATGAACTCGCACCACTTGAGAGCCAATTCAATCACTGGACAGCCCCACGCTGTTACATGATCACTGAATAGCTGCATCTGCTGCAAAATTCACAAACCGCCCTTTCCGAGGATTAATCAATTGAGCAACCTAAGCACCGTCGTCACTGGGCAGTGAAATCTTTGAGCGCAGTGTTTGGATAGGTGGTCTTGGTTACAAACAGATACGTGGCTCCCAGTATCAGTGAGAACAGAGAAGGAAGGAAAGACCAGGGACGCCTGTGGAGCGCACACCAAAGGACAGAGAATAAAGCCCCGGAAAGCAAGCAAGCCCGGCTTTCACTTTCATTTTCTGTAGGAGACCAGACAACCGGAGAAACGGGACTTAAATAAACAACGTGTAGGTTTCCACAGAAACTTGGGGAGAGGGCTCCTGTGGGACGGCCAGCAGGTTCTGAGCCTTCCCTCCTCGCCTTGTGTCCTCCGGTCCCCGCCATCTCCCGTCCCAGAGCCCCCGGGCTCTCCGAAGAAGAATTTCTCAAGCGTGCCCAGCTCTCTTCCTCCCAGCCAGCCTACCTTCCAGACGCAGGCTCTGTCTCAGGCATTCCTCTGCAGCAACTGAGCTCGAGGAAGACAGTTCCAGCAGGATCAACACTTCCTCCTTGTGTGTCTCTGAGCCACCAGGGAGGGGCCGGAAAAGGAATGAAGAGCAATGGGCAGAGCGAGCGCTGACACACTCTTACCCGAGGCAGCACACCTGAGAAAAACGCTTTCTCACCCTGCGGAGGAAAGCGATGCCACTCACCCTTCAGCCTCTCCACCGTTAGCTTGCTGCATCAGGCTCCATCCAACAGACTTGTATCTTTTCCACGTTGTGGAAAATGCCTGCTTGAGGGGCTGGGGATTTAGCTCAGCGGCAAAGCCCCTGCCTGGCAAGCGCAAGATCGTGAGTTCGGTTCCCAGTACCGGAGGAAAAAAAAAAAAAAAGAAAAAAGAAAATGCCTGCTTGGGGGAAAAGAATGGAAAATAAACATTTAACCCATTACACAATTAACCCTTATTAAGTGCTGTGTTGCCAGTGGCTATTATGAACACAGGCTATGGTGGTTTGCCCAAGCCTGATTTGCACACAGACTCATGGACTTCTTTGTGGACTTTGCATCTCACTAGCTCATATGTAGTTGAACAAAACTCAACACCTAGTAGGGCTTCAAGTTGAGATGTCACGGATATAATCCCTGACTGTCCCTGCTCCTGTGAGCATCCTGGCTGCTATCATCCAGTTTCCCCAACACGTCATACTCCCTGCATCTATGTCTCTGTACGTGTCACTCTACTACCTGAGCACATAACAGCAGTAAGAATGATAATGGTGGTGATATTAATAACAGTAGACATTTGCATAGCTCTTTAATGTGCTCCAGGAACTGTTCTGACCACTTTATACATAGCAACTCACACGATCTGAAACTTCTTGAGGTAGCTACTATTTTTATCCTAATTTTGCAGATGAAGAAACCAATACAAAAAATGATTATGTAACTTGCTCTGTTCTTGAGATTTGACTAAATCACTGAGTAATGCAAAACAATACATTCTCAGTGAAGCAGACAATCAACAAAATGAGTAAATCAGTATATTTTAGGGTGAAAAATCTACAGCGAATAAGTAGAAAAAGGGGGATTGAAAGTACCAGGATAGGAACTGGAATTTTCCAACACAGGATAGTTGGGTAAGGCCTCATTCTATTGGTGACATTTGAGCAAAAACTCAAGGAAAATATAGAAACACGCTGAGAAAATTTCTGGGGCAAGAGCATAGATATCAGAGTGAAGCTGCAAGTGCAACGGCCCTGAGACAGGAGCATGCATGATGTGACCAAGGGGCAACGTGGAGGCCAGTGAGGCTGCCATGGAGTGAGTTGAGGGGAATGAAAAGGGAAGGTAAGGGCTCTCAGGACCACTGTAAAAACTTCAGCTTTGACACGGAGCAAAATGTCAGCCACTGGAGAGATGCAGAAGAGGAGTAACATAGCCTGCATTATAGTTTTAGAGATTAATTTTTAATGCTGGAGCTTGGAGGCAGAGGTAGAAAGCAGAAAGTCAGTTAGGAGTTGTACTAAACTTGGGCTGAGGATACCTCCATACTTGAGTCCTTACATAATAAACTACAGCCTAATTTAGTACATATAAACTAACTGAAAGCCTAACTTACAAGCATGCTTTTTTTTTCTTTTTTTTATTTTAAAGAAAATGGTACAGAAAAACAAACAAAAAGAACAATAATAAAATACAGACAACACAAAGCAAGGACATTAAAAATGATACAGGGTTTCAAACCAAATGATAGAGATTAACAGTGGTTGTTATATTACATATTGTTATCTTCAGCGAAGTTGCTCAGATTGCCAGATGTAAAAATAGAAGATTGATTAAATCAAAAGGAATAAGAAAAGAATAATTTAAAAGAACATTAGAGACAATACATAGTGTCACTGGGCAGTTTTGTAGGGATTCACCAATGGATATTACACTGCAATTTGTTGTCATCACATAAATTGCTCAGATTAACAGATACAAACATGCAAAACTGGTCAAAATATTAAAAAAAAAACCTTTTAAACATTAACTGTTCCCCTCAACAAGCCATTAGACACCAACAGTACAGTTATGCCACTGATCCATAATATATAAAATGCCTTAGTACTTTCTTTTTCTTCTTTCCCTCATCCCAGTTGTTCCTTCCTTTGAGCAATTTCTTTCCCTTTCTTATTATCTATTGTACACTTTGGGTTTTATTTACTTTTTCATGTTCTTATACCAGAGAGACAATATGATCTTTACATATGTGGGCCTGATTTATTTACTTGTGAGTATAGTCTCTAGTGGCATCCATTTACATATAAAAGCCTCAAGTTTATCTTTTTTATAGCTGAGTAATACTCCATTGTATAGAAATACCACAGCTTTTTTATCCATACCACAGTTGATGGGTTGTTTCCAAGATTTAGCTATGACAAATTGCACTGCTATAAACATGGGTGCACATATATTGCTGTGGTATGATGTTTTTAATTCTTCTGGAAAAATACTCAGAAGGGGAATAGCTAGGTTAAGTGGGACTTCTGATCCTAGTTTTGTGAGGAATCTCCAGGCTGATGTTCACAGTGGTTTCACCAATTGACACTCCCACCAGCAGTGGAGAAGTGTTCCTT